CGAGACGGTGATCCACTGCTTTGTACTGGTTCAGTCTAGAGCACCAACAAGGACCTCACTGAGCAGTCACAGCAGAAGATGACTGAGATAAGACATGTAGCGATTCAACTGGAACAGTGGGTCCTGCGACGGCGTGCGAGTAGCTCTAAAGAAGATCCCCTGGGTGTATGCCGTGGGACGCGGCCTCATGGCGATCGAATGCAATAATTGAGACATTCACGCCGTTAATGGTATGCATATTCACGTTGATGAGAGGCTTTTTTGTGTGCTTGGAAAATCTTCAGGAGCAATGTGAATAAGGGAACAAGTCAAGAATCAATAAGTTCGAAGGATATTCCAAGGTTTAGCGCGTGCATTGCTTAGGCGGAATTTGATCATTCTCCCTGATCTTTGATTTCTTTAAGATTTCCTAAGTGAATGCCGCGAAATGTAGGTGCTTAGATGCTAAAGACGCTTGGAGGGTTTCCTATCCCGCTTGGAGGGCTTCTGCTCTTGAAAGATGTGAGACAAAAAGCTCAAACAAAGTGGTAAGCGAATTCGTCAGGGTGGACTTGGCCTCGTTCGTGCTCTGCAACGTTGTAGAACAAGAGAGCAGGGAAATCAGAGGCTACGGAATCCCTATCTAGTCTCTGATCGATACGCATTCTCCCCACTGTTCTGCTATTCTCCAAATTCGCCAGGTCAATACTTAAGCAGCGCTCAGACTTCGCGATGGTGCGTCGACGCTCGGTAGCATCGTCGTGCTGCAATTATAACAGTGTGCGATGATTTCCGTGTGCGAACGCTCGATTGATGGGCGTTTCGAATGAGTATGGCGGAATAAAATGGTGGGTGTTGCCTAGTCATGCAGTCTAGTAATGATCGGCACTATCTGTCTGCAGCTGCATTCCCGTCCATAACTTTGGAGCGTTTTTTCTAATTGGATCGTCGTGCATTACTCTGCATCGTTGCGCGTCATCGCGAAGTCTGAACGCTGTATTATCTAGTGGCGCTCATTCTCTTATTCTTCTGTTCGGAAATGCTCTGTTCTTTATTCTCTATGACGCAAAGTGTAAATGCGGTGTAGAATGAGTGCCTAGCAAAATACGTAGGTCACATTAATCTTGTCTTTCTGAAGGTTAGTGCTCAGCAGAAGGTGAATAGTAAGCCTTAATCTACATTCTATATTTACTCAATATTCACACTGTGCTTAGTTGCTTATATAGTGAAATTACACGAAAGGTTGGCGTGTACGGCTGCTTCCCGTCGAAGTCAATAATGTTTCAGACCCCCTTAGATCACGATTCCCTAGCTCAGGACCACTTGTTCAACCTTGAATGAATAGCAAAGAGTTTGCTTGAGGGCATTCGGGTGGATTAAAGGCAGTTGGCACGATGATTTGGTGCTCGGCCTTGCTAGTAGGGCGCTATATAGTGGGGAAATGGCGAAAGAACGGAGTGAAACGGTCAAAATCCTGCGAAGAAAGAGCCTCCGTTCTCAATGTGTTAGAAATCAATTTTGGACGAGTTTCCTGTAGGCATCTTGCCAATAACCGCTACCGAAGGTACGGCTGCATATGTGTACCCATGTATGCATGCAGCATCACGGCCGCTTCATACCAATCCCTTCGCTTCATAATTTGCTTAGCAAATGAATGAATACGAGCGTCAGGAACGGTCGTCCATTTGTGGGCGGGCGGGCGTGGCGGGCGTTTGGGACGTAAAGTTGTGGCTTGATAGGGCCCTTATAAGGGCACCTTCCTCGGGGAAACCGCTATGCAGCGCCTGCCCAGGGTCGCGGAATTCTATCCTGCCAGGAGTATTGATCCTAGTCGTCTTGGGGATTTATCGTGCCAACTGCCTTTAAGGT